TAAATAAATTTAAAGTAGTTTTTTCACAGTAATCAGTTCAAAATCAATTCGGGCCTTTGTAAACTTCATTTTTTCTATTTAAACAAAAAACACGTTTAGATTTACTTGCCTCCAATGGTACAATTTGTTTTGCCATTTCACTTCTTCATTAGTATGTCGTGTAATAGTGGCTTTATTCATACGTCCCTAGGCATCCTGATTGGTTTTGCTCATGTTCTAACTACTCTGCATGCTTGACTTAGTACTTGTCAAGTCCAACGAAAGACACTTCGTCACTCATAGGTATTCATTGTACGTTCGTACGTACAGGTCGAAAACCAGGCAGTGACTCGCTGTAGGCAGCTGCTGTACGTACGTACAGGTTGAAACCAGGGAGCGACCCACTGTTTTTACGACGTCTTGCTGAAAATGACCTACTTCTCCCTCCAGCGTCTTGATTTTTACAAATTTTCTGTTTTCATAATTTTTTGAAATGCTAAATTTAGGATTATAAATGATAAGATTTCTTATTAACTATTATACATAAAAATGTTTACATTGGCGTAAACAATAATAGGTTATAGCTTAACAAAACACTTGGAAAGGATGCCACCAATCGAGCGAATTGGTCGAATCTAGTGCTGTATTTTATAATAAATAACGTGCTAATAAACCATTATTCAGAATAAATATTTGATAGAAACCTTAGCATAATTCAACGAAACGATTTATTAAATTTTAGCTGTATATTCTAACACGGGTATATTTTTCAGTTCCCCCCCCCGTGACTTCTGTTTCCGCATGTTTCGCTGCCGGCGAATTTGAATAAATGGCGAATACGACGTTTTCAATGCGCCCCGGCCGTTGTTACGTATTAATAAATAATGTATCGGCAAGGCGGGCATGTGGAAGGAAAGGGAGTTATGATTTAGTTGGCCGGCAAGTTTTAGATTAGACTTGGTAATGCGGGCAGCCCACATCCACATGCTTCTACTCCCATCACCGATTGCAATTAAGGGATAAACAACGGCAGCCGCTACTTCTCTTTTCATTTAAATCCTAACCGACGAGAGAGAGAGAGAGAGAGAGAGAGAGAGAGAGTGAGAGTGAGAGCGTGTGACTGAAAGACACTACCATCCTTGTGAACTAGCTCAAGGTCTGTGCATACATCAAAACCGAAACGATCCAAGATTCCTCTAGGGGTTTGAACAAGATGCACACTTTACTATTTATCTATTTACATCTGTAGAAATTCTTGTGTCAAATCATATAAATCAATACCGGATGATGGTTAGGTTGAATTCTGAAACAAGAATGCGCACATTGCTATATCATCAATGCCAGCTATGCAGATCGTAAAGCAGCCTGGAATTATATAGTTATTAGCAGTAGTTATTTTGATGTTGAGTCGTTTCGTTTGCATTTTTAACCCTTAACCTTTGAATTTATGATCCGGCCCAAACTTTGGTTTGATCTATGCTGCCGCCCCTGTTACCGTACAATATTTCTTAACCGACGGTAGCCGGGTGTTTAACGCGTCCGATTCTCGCCATTCAGAACCCGCGGTCGAGGGTTCGATTGCCATTGTCATCCCTGGAATTTTTGATCGAGTCCTCTATTTAAAAAAAAAAATCATAGACATATATATTTCGATTTGACTTGTGTACTAGACACATTTCTTAAAATATAAAAAACGAGTATTTTCATCTGAACAAATACATATTTTATTTGCTTGATAGTCTATTGAAATATATATCGTATATATAAGGCTCGTAATGGCCGAAAAGTATATATTTCTAGTTTTCTGTTTCTATGTTTTGGCGTATCTCTAATATTATACAGTAAGCAAAAAATCCTCAGCTAGATAGCAAAAGGAAATTTGTATATAAAGCCGTCCTTCATGTACACAATTGCATTTTGGCTAAATAGATAAATACAAATATATGCCGACTGATAGATAAATGGATGAATGTAGTCAAGAAAAATAGTTGTCTCATCTACGTTTCCAACGAATGATCGGACGTTACTAATGACTTTTTTAGACGAAACTAATGATTTTTTAGATAAATACATAAGCAAAGGATAAATATCTTGATTCGCTTATATATAGAATATGCTAGATTGCTAGATAAATATATATATATATAATGTATAAATAGATAGATGTATTGATTGATGCGTAGAACGATAGATAAGCAAATTAATAAAATTAGAGAGAGAGAGAGAGAGAGAGAGAGAGAGAGAGAGAGAGAGAGAGAGAGAGGGAGAGAGAGAGAGAGAGAGAGAGAGAGAGAGAGAGAGTGAGAAAGAGAGAGAGAGTATGTTCAATGCAATAAAACATATCTACATAAGTCATAAACGTATATTTAGAAAGAGAGATTAAAGGGAGAACAAATATCGCTATAGAAAATTCATAAATTCCTACAAGGTTAATAGTTGTAATTTCATAGTGGAAATGTTCTTTTGCACTTTTTTTAAAACGAGAGCCTCGGTTTAGTTAAAAAGAATTGAGTATCCCTAGATTTTAGAGAGTAGCCGACGACGTTGGACGAGGCCACACGCGCTGCGAGAAGAAAGAGCCGGCTGAATATTCAGGGCCCCGAGCTCGGGGTGATTTCACGGTACATTCTTGCCCGTAGCCGTGATAGGCCCTTTCTTTGCCCCTTGTTTACCCAAACCTTCCTAATTCCGCAGCTTTTTTACAGGAGAGCCCATCTACGAGGCTGTGAAAAATATCCCTGCCAACTCGGAGCTGGTCGTCTACTTCCTGCCCGAACGGCCCGAAGAGGTTTTCTTCATGCCGGCTGTCCACTACCTACGGAACTCTCTGTACCGACGGACCATGGACACAATACTCGAAGGTAAATAAATTTAAAGTAGTTTTTTCACAGTAATCAGTTCAAAATCAATTCGGGCCTTTGTAAACTTCATTTTTTCTATTTAAACAAAAAACACGTTTAGATTTACTTGCCTCCAATGGTACAATTTGTTTTGCCATTTCACTTCTTCATTAGTATGTCGTGTAATAGTGGCTTTATTCATACGTCCCTAGGCATCCTGATTGGTTTTGCTCATGTTCTAACTACTCTGCATGCTTGACTTAGTACTTGTCAAGTCCAACGAAAGACACTTCGTCACTCATAGGTATTCATATGTCAGTACACGACTGTTGCATTTCCTATTACACAAATTATCGCCACATTTGTATATCTACACTATTAGTTGCATGTCTTTGATGACTAATTGAACTTCATATGATTAAAAATTATTAATGTACTTATAAATAACTTTGTATATACTATTTTGGACCCGTGGCTCAAATCACGGTTTAAACTGGGTTCACTGGAACCTCGTTTACAGTTTGGACCAAGTTTAAGAAGGACTTCCACTAAACTTTGAGCCCTGTTAATGACGCGACTTTAGGCGTATAAATAAATATGCGAGAGAAAAAGCATTGGTTGTATCATAAAGAAATAATAGAAATTGATATGTTGCTGATTAGGAAAACAAAGTTTTTATTGAAATTTATTAAGTTTTTATTAAAAGGTGGTAACAAAAATTGATTCAATTTGATTTTCACTTTGGTTGATTAAAAGTTCAATTTTTAACAACATAGGTTGCATTATGAAAATAACGTCAGTCAAGTCTGAACTAGGTTTAACACACGCTCGACGGCCGTTCAATGTTGAACCAGGTTCCTCATTTGAACTCGGTTGAAGATAAAATGAAAAAGGGCAATTTTTAAGGTGAACTCGAGTACTAAACTGAGTTTAAACCAAATTGGTGCAACGGGGCACTTAATGCCTATTTGCAACCAATAGTGGGAATGCTGTCCTTTATATTAAAAATGAATGGTTAAGCAATAATGGAAAAGGTCGGGCTTCAGCAGCAGGCTCAATTATTGACATAACAAGTGAAAGCGACGTAAATTGTCTTCAAAAATTTGAAAGTTCAAAAAGAGAATAGAAGGACCAAGTTGATGTGTTACGATCAAATTACGGATAAATTCTCAAAAAAAATGAAACGATCAACTTTTTTACAGCGTAAACAATTCATAGAACGTTCGGTGGAGGATTAACATGTACGGATATTTAGTCAAACATTTTGCGGGGGTTAAAATTGGCCTTACAGCCGCGATTAACCAGGGAGGAAGTTTCGACAAGTTTTTGAAATGGTGTCGTTAAAACTGTTACTTGAAGAGTGGAACCTGGGTCATTATTTGAACTTGGTTCAAGGTAAAATGAAACATGCAATTTTTATGTTGAACACGGCTCAGTACTAAACTGAGTTTAAATCGAGATGATACAACCGGCCTTTAAGAGGCATTTAAATGTAAATTAAATTAATTTTAAATTTTAATAACATTTAATTTTAATAAAATTTAATTTTAAATTTAAATTTATTTAATTTGGTGAAGCCTGAGACTATGAGAAATGCTTATGTAAATGTTTAGACATGTTTTTCAGCATAGATCCTCATCGCGTGGATCTTATGTGGTGAAAATTGTTCGTGTGGTGGCGGATGGTGATTGAAGAGAGGGTGCCGTCGGGTTAGTGACACGGCCGTCAAAAGCGATCGCTAACAGTACAGCCCTGGGACGTGTCCATGGGAGACGGCACGTAGTCGTGACATGTCGCCTCCCCCCTAATCATACCCCAAAAGGGACACTTTTTACATTTTCACACTCGGGCATATCACCTACTTCAACGTTCCATCAACCAAACGGTGACATCCCGTTCTGGCCCGGTACCTCCCCCGCGTCGAATCTGTACGTTTCCGAGAAGTACTAAAGAAATAAAACGTTCGGTCGCTGGTATTAGAAAAATATATTAATTAATCCATACCGTCTTGGTCATATTTTCGGTCAGATTTCTACTGTACACACCATTGGTATCGGTGCCGTACAAAAGAGCGCGTGTGGCTCCGACCACCCAACTCTAACTATGTCCCGCACAAATGGGGCAGCGTGTCCTGACGGTTAATGCACAAAATTTCTTCTTTTTTTGCGTCGATCCTGGACCGCGTGGCAGGTTTATGATGAGATCGTGATGATCTCAAACTCGCCCCTGCTCAACCGTTATCCATCTTTTTCTGATAATCACCTTGGAAATTGTCACAACGCTAAATCTAGTTGACTCGAAGAAAAACTAGATTTAGGAATCTGTTGTCCGTCAAATTTCTCTTCAAGAGACTTTAATTTGGATATGTGAAAAAAAAGTCTAACTTACCAACTTTAATATATATTGTCAATTTTTCTTTGACTACAAAGCGAAACATTACTACTTGAGTAATTTTAAGTGTAGCATACCGTATAAACATATCGCCTTCAATATAAGAAAAACTGAAATTTAATTTCTTCTCTTATTAAACTTGTTACTTATTATTATCCCCAATTATTACGTCAAACATAACCAATTCCTCCATTGTATTATTATTATTATGAAAATGTCCTCCGCCTGTGAATAAGACGTAATATAACCCGGTCATACTGGCATAAAAACAGCACCAATTACCTCAATTAAATCAAGTCTAAGTATGACCTTGCTCGATTCTCCCCGGCTTAAAAACAATCCAATTTGCTAATTGGTTAAAAATAGTTGGGAATATCTCACGGGTTTTTTCTTCTCCTTTTTCTTACATCTTCTGCCCCATGTCCGTTCATTAATTCACATCTCAATTAAGAAAACCGACCGGCAGGGATGCTTGAGATGCCGCGGCCATCTTTGCGCTCAAGCAGTGCTTTGTTCCTCCAGGGGCAGGAATGTGTCTTTTATTGTCAACCGGGAGATATGTAGATGCGGATGCAGATAAGGGCTACCAGTCACAGTCCGGCAGTCGGCTTTCGACCTTGCCCTTGACGAATATCGGTATGGCTAGATCCGAAAATCAGTTCGGTGAAAATACCAACTTACACATTTTTACAAAATCTGTATTTCTATCAGAAAGAAATGCTTCGCTTATGTCTAACTGGTAGGATATTCGACCAAAAAACAAATTCTGGCTTTAAATTTTGATACCAGGTTTAAAACAACAATGAGTTAATTTCCGTACAGAAATTAACGTACTTTATTTTAGTCAACAGAAGTTTATCGAATTCACTATTCAGAATAGAATATTCTCAAATACATCTTCCATGTTGTGTTAGCGTTTATCTGTTCTGTTGTTTTACTTTATGGCATTTCAGCAGGAAATAAAGATCAGATGTTCAAGTTCATTTACTATGACCTGTTCATCTATCCCTTAAAAACATAATTTCTTTAATTTATAACCTGAGATAGTTTAGAGCTGTTACTAAAATTAGTTAGTTAGTAAACATTTCTAAATCGTCCGGTTAATCCAAGTAAAATACCATTACCGACTTTTCGAACTTACAATTTGGCAATATAACGCTTCGACGGTGATTTCCGTCACCGGAAACTATTACGAGGACCCCCTCCTGTGACGGCTGAATGTTGAGAAATCACCCATCTCCGACTCGTCCATAGCACGGGTCGCGACCTGTCGATTAATTTCCCACACGTTTCACCACTTCCTATGGCTAATTATTGTACGCTATTGCGTATAAGTTCACGCTTTATATTGTTAAATTTTATAATATACAGTCCTAAAAGAAGATTAGTGGAAGTCGTTTTAGATAAATGTTATTAATTATGGTATGGAGTACGATGGTTTATTCAAGTTGGTTTTGGCAATAGATGGATTTAGAAATACCGAACACATGTGCAAAAAATAACATTTCGCATATTTCAATTCAAAAACTCGCTCATTTATTCTACAGCTTTTCTCTGTACAGTTGAATAACGCACTCCAAGAAAAACTGACAGTCACTAGAACATCACTCCTTACAATCCATTATATTTCGAGGTCTGATTGACCAAATAACTTCTTTCAATTAATTAATCTTTTTATGTAAAGTATTGGCTGAAATGAAAAAGTCAGTGTCACGAGCGGGATTCGAACCCATGACCTTCGGCTAAATAAGGCGCTGCTCTAACCACTTGAGCTATCGTGACTTCGATCCACTCGGACACCAACTCCCCGACTGTCCGAGTCCGACATAAAAATATTAATTAATTGAAAGAAGTTATTTGGTCAATCAGACCACGAAATATAATGGATTTAATAAGTAAAACAAAGTATAACTTCACTAACAGCTCTCCGTTGCCAGTTCATATGTCGCCGAGAATCGAATCCTGATTACACGATATTTGAACAATAGCAAAAAGTGGTGAAATTCGAAAGGTTGACATGGGGAGTTGGTGGCCGAGTGGATGGAAGTCGCGATAGCTCAAGAGGTTAGAGCAGCGGCGTATTTAGCCGAAGGTCGTTGGTTCGAATCCCGCCCGTGACACTGACTTTTTTATCTCAACCAACACCTTACATAAAAAGATTAACTTCGTACCTCCTGCTTGAAAAATCCTTCTGATGAAAAACATTACTATGTCTGTTGTATTTTTCTATTTTTTATAATTTACAGTGCATTTTAACTTCGTTCTATTAGGTAACAAGTTACAATGATATATAAATAAGTACACAATCAAAACAAGAGGGGAAAAACTACCTATTGGCAGTATTCCAATGAGAATAAAAATTTTCTCTATTTAATGGATACTAGTATGATAGTAGACTGTCACTTTTAGTGGATAAGAGGATTCGCAGCAATCGTCTCTTCAGTCGGCGATGAGGGTTTGAGGGGATTCATCGCGATGGGAGTTTTTGGATTTGAAGATGTGTTGTCGGGAGGGGCTTATGAAATTTCCGGTAATGAGAGCGGATTCCATCTTGGATGAAAGAAATTATAAATCTTTCTGGGTTATTTCGTTGGACACAAAAAAATGGGCATCAAGGATTTTGCTGAGGGTTTTATGTATTGGACAGTTTCGATGCGATGGATATTGGAGTGTTTGGCTGAACCCGCCACTTCCATAAGTCCATATCCATTTCACTCTCGTATTATAGAACATCCTTATTCTTGTAAATGCTCAGCGTTTGTCTATAAGTTAAAAAAATTCATAACTTCTTGGCGTTTCAGTCATCTGTTCCACGTCAAGAATTTGTCGATGTACAGTCCTAAGTATCGTACCTTTCTGCAGTTTGGAGGGGGATATGAAATAAACTGGAACGAGGGATTTTTTTTCGGAGAGAAGATCATGTGGGTGGATTTTTCTGTATTGAATTTTATTATCTTCTTTTCACACAAGGCTCCAACAGGGAGAAAAATAGTTGAAGATACCGAGTGATTGAATCAAACTTACTTGATAAGATCGCTGAATCGTCTCCATCGGTAAGTGTGATGATTTCAGACTTGTGGACACTACCTTGAACTACACCAAGTTGTAGAGAGGTATTTTAGGGATGACTCCTTCAATAACTCGGAAGGACCGACCAGTGAGATAGCTGCCAATGATTGGGTAGTGGGGTGGAAGGATGTCTTTGAGCATAAACAGCATGCCCGGATGCCAAACGCAATTGAGCATGGACAACATGCCCAAACACTAAGTAACTCAAGTAACTCAAGAGAGGTAGAGATACGATTCACATGATGGCATGTACGGCACAGGGACGCTGCGGAAACCAAAATAATGTTCGGGGATAACATTTTGTGTATTTTTATGAAAATGTTAGGTCTTATATCGTTAACATTGACATAAAAACAATGATTATATGGTAAAGTTGAATTTCTTCATTTTTATTTGAGCAGATTGCATTATGATTTGCATTATCTACATGGATTTCGTATTTTATTCATTGGACTCATGATTGATAAAATTGTACAATTATACTGTTCAAATAATGATGCATATGTATGTCGTTTTATTCTGATAGTGGAGTGGTCATGATTGAATCGTTTTTTATTTATCTATTAAGCACAGTATCTATGTTTAACATATATGTGTAACTTCTTACCAGAAAGTCTTTTTACAGTAAGAAGGTATGTCAAACTGCAAATAATCCATAGTATGGAAATTAAGTTGTTTGTATGTATATGTAATTCCAATCGATAACAACGACGGTAAAAGGTTTAAGAGAGCAATCAAGGAGGCGGTGAACGGTTTGGTAGGTGGACAATGGGCACGGTAGCCCCCGACTCACCTATTGATGCGTTTTCTTATTTTATTTTTTACCCCGTCCTTTTATTTTTTATTGTCAAGGGGGACACAATGGCGGGACGAAATGACCCGGGGACAGGACAATAGCTGGCCGGCAAACTTTGGTAGCAGACCGACAATTAATATTTATCAAGCCAGTTTACCAAAGCGGTAAAACACCGCCTTCATTAATAAAAGATAAAAGCCACTTTCCGAATAAAATAGTATCGAATCATTGTTTAGCTGTAGCATGTTTCTATAGCATAATTAACAACGTGGCGCAAGGTAGCTTTAGGATGGTTTTTGAGTCATCTGTCAATGTTACTTTTTCATTTGTAGATCAGATCAACCCAATTAATACATATGGGTGTGTTTATGAGACTTCGAATGAAAATTTGTACTTTAACACGTTTACAACGTAGATTGTAAATACCCTCGGCCAGCCACGCGTATCTAGAAAAACTGGTTCCGAGTAATACACGGATTGGCAAGAAGCCAGTTATAATTTTGTCGAGTTCTGTTTTCCCAGTGACGAACGACGTTGTACATCTAAAGCACGGCGTCAGATTTATAGCTGCTGATTTACAGGCGACGTATTTCCCAGCATATATTAATAAAGGACTCTCTCTTTTCCCGGTTTTGCAGTAACTACGGTTAAAAAGATAATAATTCTTAATTTTGCCTGCATATCTTGGGTAGTAAGCAAGACGTTAATGTATTAACTAAGTTTTCTCTATCGTTGGCTATTTATTATTGATTTTATATGGTGAAAAATTTAATAACGCGTAAATTGGTCGGGCTGTAATATAATAATGACTGTGAATAAGGACTTAAAATGGCGTTTTAGAAATTACATTTAAGTCGCCGTTTCCCGTAAATGCCGTTCATCCAATTTACGCCGGGTTCTGTCCGTTTTAAAAATTTATAAGTACTAAGCGGCTTTGACAGGTTCCTCTGGGCAGATAGAAGTCTGGCTTTCTTTATCGAATAATTAAATCATCCGATCGAATATTTATTCATATATGTAAATCGGAGTCGCGCTACTGGAATTCACCAGGGCAACCCCTCTCCCAAACTGGTCGAAATCAACAAGACGGCTCCTATTTACAACCGAAGGAAGAGTTATGGAGGATGACGCATAAAAAAGGAACAGAGAGGACTGTCGCGACAAGAAAACACTTGGCGAGGAGGCGTTTACAGAAAAATCTTTCACACTTCGTCCCATTTGCATAAACATCAAACGATTGATTTTTTTTTCTGTTACAGATTCTCCTTTGGATTTGTCAATGTCCCTCTTATCGAGGGCTTTGATCAGCTCGTCCGGTTCCTCGTCCCCGGGCGACACGGACGAAAGGAAATCCGTGAGCGGCGACTCTTCCGTCAGCGGGGAAGTCGACCACGTCGTGAGGAGACAAGTCTCGCCAAAAGCGAGGGCACCTAGGTCGGAAAGGACACTCCTGCCCTGCGAGGTCTGCGGCAAGGCTTTCGACAGGCCCTCCCTCCTCAAGAGACACATGAGAACGCACACAGGTCAGAAAAATTCTTTAAACAAATACATGATCTTACATCACATTAAACTTCAAGTGGTATACCTTCTCTTCAGTAACTCAAACAAATACCAGAACTACATAATAAAAGCTCTAAACTTGTTCCTCAGGACGACACCAAATTTAGCAAATTTGCTAAAGCATAGCTAATCCTATGAGTTTAGGGCGGGTGCAGTGTTTTTTCTTCCTGTTTCCTCTCTTGTATTAATTAGCCACACTGATTTTGTTGGCGCCAATCTAAAATTTACATCTTGAAATCTTCCTTCGTCCATTTCATTCTCACTCTTCACCCCACCACTGCATCATGTACCTATTTGTGTAATATTTAGTGACCGTCGAGCAATCAAACTCATTATGGAACTACCCTTCAGTGTTTCAAGCAGAAATACTTGCCATCAATGCTTGTGCCCTAGTATATCTTAAAAGAGGTTACACTGTGGAAAAAGTCCTTATGAGATCAAAGCATTAGCATGTAAAAAATCACATTAAAATTGGTCAGTGAATGCATCCAAAATCTCAAAAACCTGGGAAAACAACCTGATAATATCTTGGGTGCCAGGGCACAAAGAAATTTTGGAAAAAGCAGACATACTGACCAGAGGAGAATCATCTGCAAGACCGTACATAGGACCCGAACTTATACTTGGGAAAACAAAAACAAATACACAATCCTTCATCACCGAATGGATCACAATGAAACAAAAGAAGTGGATAAACTCTAGCGGCTAGAAACAGTAAACCGGTGCTAAAACAACCCTCACCAAGACTGGCAAACTCATTGTTACAGTTGGAGAGGGCCAGACTTTGAGGAATAATAGGACTATTAACTAGTCACTGGCATCTGAGAAAGCATCTATACAACATGGGCATATGTAACTATGATCCCATCTGCAGATTATGTAATGAAGAGGAAGAAACAGCCATTCATCTTCGAATCAATGAAAGGCGAAGCAACGGCTCATTGGAGACATAACCCCTGCATTTAGAAAAAACCCTAGGTAATCAAATTGTAGCAGCTACAGTCAATGACTTAATACTTCTGAGAAGAAGGATTGAGTCGATTGAACTGAATTAGGGAACTAGGAAGGTACAAAAGCCAGAAGGCTGCAGTGCCTGGGGAGCACAAACCCCACTTCCTTGTTTCCTCATTATCATTATCATCATCATCCATGATCGAATTGTCGGCAGACAACTGAAAAAGGTGTTTTTTCTAAACTCCCTCATTATCGACCGCTCTTCACGACTTCAACAAATCTTGTATCTATTGTTGTATTTCCAAACATAAAAACTTTCATATCCAGTTTATAATTTCACCCTTTTTTGCCCAAAATTGCTTCAGAGCAATGTTAAGTTTAGCAATTTTCCTTAAGGTTAGCAGAAATTCCTGTAAGTTAAGGGCGGGCGCAGTGTTATTCCTGCCCTTTCTGCTCATATATTGGCAACACTGATTTATTTGGCGCTAATACGCTCTATTATATTTCTCCGCTTATCTGTTAACCAATTTCCTAATGTTCGTCACGTTGTATGACAACGTTGGGCCGTAAAGGGTTAACACTAATGTAAATCCAATACAAATATATTGATGAAAACATTTACAGACTATATTGGTATACCAGTAAAACGTACTTAATGTATAAATCACCGGCATACAAAGAATTTGTACGGCATCTATTGACTAAAATTATTGTATGTGTTTCAGGAGAAAAACCGCATGTTTGTTCTGTGTGCAACAAGGGATTCAGCACGAGCAGCTCTCTGAACACGCACCGGCGGATCCACTCTGGAGAAAAACCCCACCAGTGCCAAGTGTGCGGAAAAAGGTTCACTGCCAGCTCGAATCTGTACTACCACCGGATGACCCACATCAAGGTGAGCAGATTTTTAGAAACCCTGCTGCTTTAAAGCCCCGGGGCTTTATAAACGGTAGTATAAAACGGCGTGGAGATTTTCAGATAAAGCGCACCGAGCAAATAAATTACGAGCGGCCAAACTTTATCTTAATTCCCCATCTAAGATCCGATCCATGCTGTAAGTCTATAGATCGGGCTCAGGGGGAGCAATGCTCAGCGGACAAATTACACTCTAATCTCGATCCGGGTCGCCTAGACGCCGTGATTTATCAACGGCCGAATTCAGAGGGCTTTTTTCCGTAGAGTCGCCTTTTAATTAATAAAACACTGCCGAGCCGTAAATCCGAGAGTTTGATCTAGGGTCTGGAAGTTGCCCTAACCCGACAAGACACCATTAGCCGGTAGACAGATAGAATCCTTAATGGACCAAAAGGATTTATTTTATTATATTTTTGGAACCGTTAAAACGGCGAATTCCCTCAATATTTCCAGAGACCGATTAAGAGAATTCACGTGACGACTGACGCTCCGGAAAGGGTAACGCGGGTTTCAAAAACCCTGGAACAAAAATTTCCAACAAAAAGTTTCCGACGCGGGCCTGTATGGTAGGCGTATCCAAGTTGTGATTTATACGAAGCCGGTAATTATAATTTGGCAGGAGATAAGTCTTGTAGCCCTGGCTACTGAATTATGCAGCAGACATAGTTTATAGCGAGGAAGATTACTCTAATTTTTCCAGTGTCCGTACGATCTTCTTTTTTTGGACCGATCACCTTTTTTTCAACGTAAATCGCCATTAATGCAGAAAGTGGACAACGGCCGAAGATCCCAGTAACAATTTGTGCGTCGCCCGTGTAAAATTTATTTATGGAATAAAAAACCCCTCCCTAAACGCGAAACAAGCTTCCATTAATTTTTAGTGAGTTTAATTTGAATCTTAAAAGTTAAAAGTATCCTAGCTTATAATCACAGAATAGATATTTTAATTTTTTTTTTGCTAACATAAAAGTCGATTGATTTTCATTGTAATAAAACTTCTTTATGTAATCTTCATCATGTTCTTAAATTAAACTGATGAAAAAATCAATCTTTGGTTTGCAACGTAAACGAAATACAGTGCTTAGTATTGTTTTGCTTTTTAATTCTGAATATGACTTTATGAAGATATTTAAAAGAAAAAAAACAATTCCTAGTATCCAAGGTTTATTATGTAGTTACAATTAATTAAGATTTTTAGTTGAGATGAATAAAAGTTAATGGCACGATCGGGATTCGAACCTAAGATCATCGGCTAGATACGCCGCTGCTCTACCACTTGAGCTGTCGTAACCTCGATCCACTCGGACATCAACTTCCTATCAGTCAAGCGGACCACGAAATTAGTGAATTTAAAGAATTAATATGAAGTACACTTCACTAAAGCTCTTCCGTGGCTATTTCAATTGCCGTCGAGAATCCAAACCGATTACACGACATTTGAAAAATGGCAAAAAGGAGGGAAAACTCATAAGGTGGGGTTGAGATAGGAAGTTGATGTCCGAGTGGATCGAGGTCACGATAGCTCAAGTGGTAGAGCAGCGGCGTATCTAGCCGAAGATCTTAGGTTCGAATCCCGATCGTGCCATTAACTTTTTTTCATCTCAATTAAAAACCTTAATTAATTGTAATGATTTAATTGGTCAAGCGGGCCACGAAATTAGTGAATTTATTATGTAGGCTCAGCAGGATCTAAATTACCTGAATGTTTTTGCCGTAGGTTTTTCGTCTTTATTCTTCAGTTTTAATTGTTATTTTGTAATAATTAATTGAATGGACTGAACAATTATCATCCCTTTTCCCAGCAATGGTTGCAATCACAGGCCAACTAGGTTGATTGCATTTTACATACATTTTTCTGCTAACATAAAAGTCGATTTATTTTCATTGTAATAAAACTTCTTGATGGAATCTTCATTATCTTCTTTAAAACATATGAAAGTCAATTTTTGGTTTGCAACGTAACGAAATACAGTTCTTAGATTTGTTTTGATTTTTAATTATGAAGATCACTTATGAAGATATCTAATAGAAAAAAAAAACTCTTAATATCCAAGGATTATTATGGAGGTTCAACAGGATCCAAATTAACTGAATGTTTTTGTTGTAGGTTTTTCGTTTCAATTCTTCAGTTTTAATTGATATTTTGTATCAATTAACTAAATGGATTGAAAAATTATCATTTATCTATCTAGCAATTTTTGCAATCACAGGTATTACGTTGATTGCATTTTACTATACAAATCTTTTAAATGTTATATTTCAACTGGTAATGTAGCATTTGAACTGGCTGATGGAAGAACTGGTCCTTCCCTGCTTTGACTTTCAAAAGCCCCACTTTTTCTTATCCTTCTTCCATCTAACTAGTGTTATTTACGAGCCTATTTCCGTGCCTTACTGGTGGGTTGGTCGAGAAAAAACAAGAAATGAATTAATGAGTGCTAGTTTAATGAAAGGAAAAAATATCCGAGTAAATTCCATGAAAACTGAAGAGTGACCCGCCTATTGTCACATTACAAGGAGAGTGACCTGTTTTACAAGCCCCTGGCACTTATACATGGTGTGTCCTACACGATGACTCCCACACGAACGTCTTCATGTAATTAGAATGTAAACCTGAAAGAACGATCCACAAGGAAAGCTAGTCAGGAAAAGAAAAAAAGAAAAAATCTCCAAAGCATCCTACGGTGGCTCTGAGAACGTAAATTTAGTTAAATAAACCGCATTATAAAAAGTACATATCATTGGCTTCCCTTTTTGTCTCTTCTAAGATCGCCGTATCGGCCTTGCATCGGTCGGTTTCCAAATGGTCTGAGGACGTATTAAAACCCAGAGGAAAGGTTATTTTTTTCCCGTGCCTTTTTCCCGGCGGAGATAAGCGATTTCTGTAATCGGCGTAAATCACGTAGAGTTGCAGCATCGTTAGTCCTCGGATGTCTACCTGGCCGAATTTATGGGTGCACTATGGAGGCGCCGTCTCCTATCTCACTCTCATCTCGTCAGGAGATCCTGACAGGGACGGCCCACGACGTCAATAAAATACGGGGAGCCGGCCACCTTTCAGCACATCCAAAAAGAACAGGGCATCACAAAAAAAAGAAGTATTTTTATTACACTCACGAAACAAGGAAGTTCATTCTCTCCCTCTCTTTCACTATCGCTCTTTCTCTCTCGCTCCCTCTCTCTCACACACAAACATTCTGTCAGTCTGTCTCTCACTTTCTCTCTCTCTTACTCTCTCTCTCTCTCTCTCTCTCTCTCATACTCACCCTGTGTAGCTCACTCTCTCTCTCTCTCTCTCTCTCTCTCTCTCTCTTTCTCTGTTTTACACTCTCTCTCACACTAATATCCTCTCTCTCTCTCTCTCTCTCTCTCTCTCTCTCTCTCTCTCATACTCCTTCTGTGTAACTCACTCTCTCTCTCTCGCTCTCTCTCTCTATCTCTCTCTCTCTTTCTGTGTCGTACTCTCACTCTCTCTCACACACTCACACACACACACACACACACACACACACATTCTGTCTTTTTGTCTGTTTCTCTCTCTCTCTCTCCCCCTCTCTCTCCCTCTCCCTCTCTCTCAATCTCAATAACAATCTCCCACTCCCTTTCTCATACTCACTCTCTCTTCGTCACTTAGTCTCTCTCTCTCTCTCTCTCTCTCTCTCTCTCATACTCACCCTGTGTAACTCTCTCTCTCTCTCTCTTTCCCTCTTTCTTTCTCTGTCTTACACACTCTCTCTCTCACTAATCTCTTTTTGTTCTCTCTCTCTTTCTGTGTCTTACTCTCACACTACTCGGGCTCTTTTCTCTTTCTCTCTCTCAGTCTCTCTTTCTCTCTCTCTTTCTATCTCGCTCTTTCTTTCTCTCTCTCTCTCTCTCTCTCTCCCTCTCTCTCTCCCTCTCTCTCTCTCTCTCTCTCTCTCTCTTTCTATCTCATACTCACTCTGTGTAAATCACTCTCTGTCTCTTTCTCTGCCTTACACTCACTCTGCGTAACGATCAACAAAACCAATTTCTTGTTTGGTTTATTTATTGTGTTAATATTTTTGTAAATAACTCGATTTTCCGATGCATTTATTCTGTCCTCAATTTTTAATTCGATTCGCAACATAATTCAACAATAATAATAACAATATAAAATAATGTTTGATTGTTGCATTTTTGAAATTAATGTACATATTTCTCCTTTTTTGGTTTTTTTTTCTTGTTGGCGTACAACCTTGGTAGAAATATAGAAGGGAAATGTAGCGAAACGAAATATATCTGTAAAACAAAATAATAAACTGTTTGATATTATAATTTATTCTTCCTCAGAAGAACTTCCCATGACGGATTGTGTATTAATTTGTTGTATATTTTCCAAGCGTTTTGCGAAGCTTTTATTGTCCCTGTTATGAAATATGGGTGATGGGGATGCCGGTCTTTTATTGGATATTAGGTTAATCGTGAAAGCATAACCCCGGTTGTAAAATTTTCCCGGTCCCCGAAAACCTGTTTTGGCGGAAGTGGCTAAGCTAAAGACGGTAGCCACGGCCGAGAATGCCGACCAATTACAAATCCTTGTCTTATCTGCAGTCACTAATAATTGTTGGGGGGAAAGATGGGCAGGGTGCGATTCCACCTTAATTAAGAAGTAGATATCCAGGCCCCGGCTCCTCGCAGGTTCGTTCAACTTAATCGATCCGTTTTTCACTGCCAGTGCCGATCCGTTCACAATTTCTATTCTTCGTGTCAAGGCTGAACTAACCGTGGACTTTAAAAATCATGAGTCGATGAGTATCGGACTGCACAGATACTATTACATAAAAGATCTGTTCTGCAAGAAATGTCAGGTGGTTCCGCCAATCGTCTATTGGATTTCTTATAATTCCATGCAAATAAGGCGTCTCGATTATCCTGGATTATCATATTAAATTACCTAGTCGTTTTGAAAAATTCTTTTCTTTTAAACAAATTTTATATTTTTTACGATTAAACGCTTTA